GATCAGGACCTGGAAGTGACACTCTTGACTGCGGTTTCTTTTCTTTTTTGAGCTTAGCCTTCGATGTTAGGAAACAAAGCAAGGCGGACATGGCATCTCGCTCTCGGGCCCACAGACATCCCGCACACCCGCCGCCACCCGCGCGCGCCCCGCCCCACCCCGGCCGGGAGAAAGGGGAGTGACAGTTTGGGACGGCGACAGCCCGAGTATGTTGAGTCCTGGCTCAACAACGCAGGTTTCAAGAGGGGGTGGTCCGGCTCACAAGTCCGGCTCACGCGCCTCGAGCTGACCATCTACCGCACTGAGCACTTCCGCCCCCTCGCTCCCAACCCATCCACCCCGCCCCGGGGGGGGGGGGTCCATACACAGGATCGAGGTGCACGCTGCATAAGCAGTGCGACGGGCCTCTGCCCGATGACAAAAGAATTAAAAAAAAGCCAAGAGAGGGGTTGGAGGGCGGGAGAAGCCAAAAAAGCCGTCCGAAAAGCCACAAAAAGCCAGCGAGCCTCCCGTTACGGCTTACGCGATTGCTCGCGAAGCGCAGCATGGTGCGTGGCCAGCTTGGGAGGCTGCCGCCGCTGTCAGAGGCGGCCGCCACTGTGAGGTCTCGAGGGCCGACCGGCCGGGCGAGCATCCGCGCTGCCGACGACGTGCTCGAGGCTGACCTTCAGAGCGACGAGATTCTCGCATGCTTTGAGGAGGCGCTCGGCGAACGGCAGCCAGAGATGGGAACGGATGCTGCAGCAGGGCGAGAGGCGAACGCCGAGAGTGCGGAGGCCGCACCGCGACTCGAGGCTGCAGCAGAGCAGCAGCGGGAACATTCCTTGCTTGCACCGACCGCGGGGCGCGGCGTTGAGCCGGTGCTGCCAGACCCGGTGCCTATGCTGCATACGAATTCCGGTGGAGGGCGCAGATCGTGCGAGCCAGATGCCGGCGCCCGTCAGCAGATCGGGTCGGCAGCTGCGAGCATTCTCGAGCGGCGCGGCGAGGCGGCGCGAGCGAAGGTGCTAGATAAGGTGCGTGATGCGGGGCGAGCAGATGGGGACCCGGCCGCCCCAGAGGAGGAGGATGGCGAGTACGACCCCGAAAAGCCAAGAGGGGGGTAGGAAGGCGGAAAGCCACGACAACTAGCTAGCACACGACAAACGGTAGAGGGCGGACAGTCACACACAGGAAGGAGGCGGTTTAAGAAGGCGGGCGGGAGAAGCCGCGCGGAAACTAGCTCGAGAAACTAGCGCAGGGCCAGCCCAAAAGGAAAGGGATCTTCCTCGTGTCCTCGCTCGGAAGTTGAAGTTGCGTCGTCAAGTATGTGTCGCCGAAATGCAAGAACGTAAAAGAGTTGTGTCGGCCGGGTGCACGCCGTGTGGACTTCTATCGGATGATCGCCTGCCTGCGCCGGAGATCGCACTCCGAGTGCCTGCCGACGCATTCGGACGCGCTCGGAAACGTGAGCTGCCACGCAACTGCGAGGTGGATTAAAACAAGGGCGGCGAGTTCTGTCCTCCTCGCGGCTGTCGCCGCCACAGCACTGCTCTACTTCTCAGGAGCTCTGTACACGGGAAATGAGGAGACGTGACGCCACGACGCAGCCAACGGCGTGTGGTGCAGCCTTGTCAGTATCTCGATGTGAGCCGGGGAGCCTTCCCTGCGATGCCATCCTGTGTTGCGGGTTTTGCGTGCGGCTCTTGAATGCGGCCTGACAGTCTGATAGTCGGTGCCTTCTCCCCGTGCGACGGGTTACGGTGTATTCAGGCAAAGCCTAGCTTGTGGCTGCTGTGTGCTTCTCGGAGAACGCACGAGGTGCGACCCTCGCGCTCGCCGCCGGGCACCCGGCCCTCGCAGGTGTCCGTCAAGTCAAGTCAACCAGAGGCCCGCCGCCAGCCATCCCAAGCTAGTCCCAAACAGACGCAGCACCGTCGACACAAGCCCCGCCCAGAAAACACGCCCCCATATCACACGGAGCGGTCAACGTCGGCGGCTGCACCTTTGGCTAGCGGACTTGGGCGGCCTCCGCCGTCGGCTACATCGCCGGCCTCGCGCCAAGCCTGCTTCGCATGAGCATATGCGGCGAGTCGACGTCTATGCGCCACCCGCATTTTTCGATCACCATCCTCATCACCATCCTCGTCAATATCGGCTTTGCCTTTCGCCTGTCACTCATCCTACTGAGCCTACCCTTCGCATCCGACCGCCACCCTTGCCGCCGCCGCCGTCGCCGCCGCCGCACTCGCCCTCCGCCACCGCATCCCAACCCCCGCCGTCGCCTCCGCCCTCGCCGCTGCCACCATCGCCGCTGCCGCCCTCGCCGCCGCCGCTGTCGCCGACACCGCCCTCGCCGCCGCCGCTGTCGCCGCTGTCGCCGCCGCCGCCGCCGCCGCCGCCTCGCCCCCTCCGCCGCCGCCGCCATCGCCCCCTCCCCCGCCGCCACTGCCACCGCCACCGCCCTCACCGCCGCCGCCGCCGCCGCCACCCTCGCCGCCGCCGCCGTCGCCGCCGCCCTCGCCGCCGCCGCCCTCGCCGCCGCTCGACTGCCCGTGCCTCGCTGCCTACCCGGCCGGCGTCAGCCTCTCATTTCAGACCCCACACACGCGCATAGCTGTTCGCACATCTCTGACCAATGCAGGCGCCTTGCCTCACTCCGCTCACGGCACCCATTCTGTCTGCTGTGCAGGATGCGCACCGAGAGGCGCTACATGGTCGACCTCATCGAAGTGGAGGACGACGAGTCGAAGTCATGGAAGAAGGAAGAGCCCGGTCCGCTCAAGGACATCGTTGACGCCGGCGGCAAGCCCGCTGGCGGCATCCAGTCCGAGGGCGCGCCCGCATCGCTCGAGGACGTCACCCCGTCCAACGGCGAGCCCGCATCGCTCGAGGACGAGATGATCCTGCTCTGGCCCACGGGCGATGACTGGCGCGCGGCAGCCGAGCTCGCGGATAAGCTCAACTCGCAGCTGGGCGTGGCCATCGACATGGTCTGGCTGGCGGGGTGCGTGGCGGTGGCTCGGGTGGCGACAGAGTCGTCGCAATGGATGGACGCCATCTCGCCCACTGGCTGCCGCATCCACTTCAGTGGCTGCCGCATCCACTACATCGTGTCGACGCTCAACAGCGTGTGGGCTGGCAAGATCACCGGGATGTTCTTGGAGAACGACATCCAAGATCTACAGGAGATGCTGTGCGTGTCCGACGAGTCCAAGGCGGCGGCCCTCTTCGTCGAGCGCGTTTGGCAGGCGCTGAGTGTCCTCGCGCAAGCCTTCTCCTTGGCGAGCCCCTGCTACCAGGACGACGAGACACCGGCGTCGGCCAAGACGTTCCCGGAGGAGACGGCTTTGGCGGTGAGCGCCCTGCAGCCCCCTGGAGCGTCTCCTGCACCTCTGTACGCTCACAGTCGTTTGATGCTGCAGCGCTCAGTGAGCATTCCCAACCCCCGCCTCCCAGCACACGATTTGCATTCGCCCTCTCAATCGAGCACGTGCACACATGGGTATCGCTATTGCGGGGACACGGTAGTCCCACGTGCGGTACTCATATTGACCCTGTGGCCTCTCGCACACGCGCAGGGCATCGACGAGTGGAAGATCCACGCCGCGGCGTCCGAGGGTGGAGACTCACGGAGAGTCACGTCGTCGGGAGACGTGCTCGAGACGAACTGGCTCGAGTGCCCGTGCCCGTGCACGTGCCCGTGCCCGTGCCCGTGCCCGTGCCCGTGCTCGTACCCGTGCCCGATCGACCCACCGACGGCCCCCAACGGCGTCACCAAAAGCGCCCCGGCTCTCACGCCGGCGGCGACCAGCGGCGCGCCGCTGCCGTCGATCAAGGAGGTTTCGGTGGAGACGCCCGCCCCGGCGGCGAGCGCCTTGCACTCTGCGCCGTGCGTCTGCCGACCCACCCCTTGACCCACCCCGCTTTCATTGCGTAGGGCGACGCCGATTGGGCTGTCTTGGCCAAGGAGGTTCTAGGGAAGAAGCCCGCCACGGCGGTGAGCGCCTCGCACGCTGCGGTGCATCGCATAGCCTCAACTATTGACGCACCCACCGCTCGCGCGTGCGCAGGGCATCTCCGACTGGACCGCCCCGTCGAATCCGCGCCGCAAAAACGGGCGCAAGGGCGCATCCGCCCCGATCGTCCGCACCAAGAGCACCACCCCGGTCGGCAGCAAGAACGGGTTCGGGGCCCTGCTCGGAATGGACGGCGACGAGGGCATCCTCGGTGGCACCGGCAAGCCGCCCCGCGGCTCCACGCCGTCGACCACAGACTCGGTGCTCGCCGCCTGCATATGCGGCCTCCTCCCCCGCTCGCCGCTCACACGGCCAGTTCAGGGCGCGACATCATCTCGTGCCCTCCTGTTCAGGGCGCGACGGTCGACGTCGAGACGACCACGATTACCACGCTGGAGGGCTCTACCTCTGGCCGGTTCTTGTGGCCCAAGTCCTACAAGTTGCTCCGCCTCTTTGGCATGCTCGCGCTGTTCTGCCTCGGAGCCGCTTTTGCGCTCTCCTCGTACTCAGCCACCTCCGCGTTCCTCTCCTCGCAGTGGCACGAGTCCCCGACTTCCTTTCCCGCAGTCACAACGCCGATCGCGCCGGCATCGCCCAACGGCATCTGCGAGGTTGGCGGCAACGACACCAGCTCGTTTGCAGCCATCGTGTCGTCGGACAGCGCGCCCGCCAATCTCCCGGTGCGTGCTAGAAAAGTATCCGCGCCGCGCCAGCTCGTGACTAACAGCCCGCGCGCTGTTCAGGGCGGGCACGAGGACGGGAGCTCGTGGGGAGCACTGATGGAAGCGATCGACGAGGTGGTGGGCGAGCCGTTGCACCTGATTGGCGAGCCGCTGGCGTCCGTCAAGGACGTTTACGTGAAGCAGCCAGTGAGCTCCCCTCTGCCTGTTTCTGTGCGCGAGCCTTTGTAGCCCACTGACGGATTGCCTGTGCGTTTGCGTGTAGGGCGAGGCCGACTTGGAGACCGTCCATGCCTCGCGCAACAGCACGGAGCGCAAGGGCGAGCCCGTGGTCGACTTTGTCGGTCCCGTCTACAGCAACAGATCGGGTATCATCGTTCGCGACACCGTCGTGCCCGTGAACGACACGTCGCCCGAGTTGCGGCCCGCCGACGCTGGGAAGCCCGAGAAGCTGGTTGAGAGTGGGCTTGGCGCGCCTGTCTCTAGCATGCACGCCGGCGGCGAGTGGCGGGCGAACGACAGGTTGGCGAACGCTTCTCGAATCCCAACCCAGGACCTCTTCCTCCAGCGTGGCCGGGCCATCCCTCTTCTCGCGGCCACGCTTGAGGAGCCGGCGTGGCCTGCAGAGGTCCGCGCCGCTCAGATCGCCGATTCGAACGCGGTCGAGTCTATCTTCTCGAGTGTGTGCGCCGACCCTGCGTGGCACGTGGAGCCTCGCCACGCGCTCACCGACGAGCTCTACAAGACCGACAAGCCGCCCGCGAACCCGCCGGCCGACGAGCTCTCCATCGACCAGCCCTCCCCGTTCCACTTTCCCTTCACGAGCCGACCCTCCTCTTCCGCGCCTGGCCGCGCCCGGCAGCACGGTCAGCTTTGGGCCGCCTTGTTCTTGCTGCTCGGAGCGTGCGGCGGCGTGCTGCTCTCGATGCGGAGGAGCAACTCGGGGCGCCTCGTGCGGTGCCGGACGGGGTCGAGGCGCGGCGCGTGGCTGCTGATTCTCGCCGCGCTGCTCCCGCTGGCATGTGCGCCATCAGTCCACACGTCTGGCTCGGGCGAGCGGCTGCCGTCGCCGCCGCCTCCATCAATCGACTTCCAGGCCACTGTGGGTGGTGGCAGCTGGCAGTCCGAGGTGTCGTGGACCCTGACGTGCAGCGGCGCGTTGATCGGCAGTGGAGGGGCTCCCTACTCCGGCACCCTGTCCGCGCCGCCCGGCGAGTGCACGCTCGACATGTACGACTCGTACGGCGACGGCTGGAACGGCAACCTGTGGGAGGGTGCGGGCAATACGTTCACGCTCGACTCCGGACCCTCCGGCAGCGAGACTTTAACCCTCACCCCTTTCCCACCGTCCCCTCTGTCGCCGCCACTTGCCCCTCCGTCGCCGCCGTCCTTGCCGCCTCCGCCCTCTGCGCCGCCGCTGACCCCGCC